CAAGATGGTGCTGGACAATAAGCACTGGACTTCAAACCACAAGATCAGCAGTTTCAGCTCACCAGCTGGAGAATGTTTCAGCTCACCTCTGGAGAAAGATGAGGCTTTCTGCTCCCAAAAAGATGTATAACTTTGAGAACCCTATAGTGGGTCACTATGAGTAGAACTGACTTTACAGCACTTAACAGCAATAACCGAGAAGCTTCTAAATATTATTTATTATCACCACTCATCTGTCGGTGTGTTATACTGTGGTGGCTTGCGTGTAGTTGTGATGCTGGAAGCTACACTATTGGCATTTCAAATGTAAGCAGGGTCACCCATGGTGGATAGGTTTCAGCATAAGCTCCAGATTAAGACAAAATAGGAGGAAGGAAGAGACTGTCCACTTCTGAAAAATTAGCCACTGAAAACCTTTTGACTAGCCTGGGAACACCGTCTGAGACAGTGCCAAAAAAATGAGTCCCTCTGCGTGGAGCGATGGAGCAGCTGGAGACTTTAGATCCAGAGAGGGAGAGCGACTGTGTGCTGAAGACCTGGGGGGCATGGGGAAAGGATTGCATGGCGGGGATTGTAACCATGGCAATGAGACGATATACGATAGAATGAATAATGTAAAACTAATGTTCTCCCATGTAAACTATCACATAATTCAAAATAAAACATTAAAGAAAAAAAAAAAAAATGAGTCCCTCTGGGTGGAAATCACTCAAAATATGACTAATAAAGAGCTGTCTCCCCAAAGTAAAGTTGACCATAATGATGTGGGTGGAGAAAAACTCTTAGGACCTTCATTTGTTAACAGGGTTGACGCAAAATGAAAAGAAACAGCTGCAAATAGTCAAGTAAGTTTCCAAGGAAGAGGGAGAGATAAAAGTCACTGCTACTATTCTTACATGCCAGAGCTAGCCAGGCAGCAGAAGAGCTGTTGAATTTTTATGTCTGAAGATTTAGTTTTATTTATTCTTATTGAGGTTGCTCTGACCCAAAGAAAATTGTATTAAAAGTCTGGGAGGAGTGGAGGGCAGAAAAATAAAAGCATATAATCCAAAGCCCAGGGTATGTGTGTGGTGGTGGTGGTGGTTGGTAGAGAGAATAAAACATGCACAGTGGCTTGCCAATAGGGTTCTCAGAACTTCCAGTAGAATTATGAAATTATTCTAACTAACAGAAGTCATCACTCAATAGCATCAGCCTAACATACATGATTTTAAAAGAATCTCCAAATAATAAATAAGGGGGAATCTGATGCAGACCGTGCAGACCCAGTCAGGAGTTCAAGTCCCTGTGGGCCCAAGCGTTGCAGACCGTCCAAACCATAGGCTCTGAGGATCAGACTTTAGCCACCTAGCAGACATAGCAAACTGTCCCTCATCTTATTATTCAGTTATGCTTGTTAGTAATCGCATACGTGAGCCCTGGATATCCACAGATAAATGTAAAAACCTTCCCTAAAAGCCGAGACTGTAAATTCCAAAAGGCAAAGTTTACCCACCCCCACCAAAAAAAAGCTAAAGAGGATAGAGAGAAACACTGTTAACTGATGATGTATGGAGGAGATTATAATCAATGTAATGAAACAAGTCATATGAATGGTTGAATGTGAAACTGATGATGTGCCCTGTAAACTTTCACTTAATCCACAATAAAAACCTTAAAAAATAAAAAAAAAGAATCCCCAAGGTTTTGTATTGGTTCAACTTTGAGGACATTACATGTACCCAAAGAGCAACATAGTCATTCATGAAAATCGTCTCTAGATGATATGCCTTTATTTGGCAGGAGGGAGAGAGTCTTATGGAGAATATATGCAAGAAGAGGAGTCCTGGCGTGGCGCTGTGGATTAATGCACTGGGCTGCAAAGTCAATTTGAACCGCAAGGTTGGTTGTTCAAACTCACCAGCTGCTTCTTGGAAACTCTATATAGGGTTGCTATGGGTTGGAACCAACTCAAAGGCACTTAACAACAACAACAATATGCAAGAAGAAGCCATCTGCCCAGATGCTGAGTCCCTTTCCAGCATATCTTGGTCCACACAGTTGGCCGCATTTCCTAAGAACAACAAAGATTAACAACTTCTACTTACCAAGTACCTAAAGTGATCTGGTCACTCCTCTAAACACTTCAACAACACTTGTGGAAGCAGCAGTCAAGAAATCAAATGACACCCTGCATTTAGCAAATCTCCTGCAAAAGTGTTCAAGAGAGTGTGAGAAGCAGAGGTGGCAATTTGGTGGACTGGGCAGAAAAGTTGTACAGACCTTCTATGACAAAGATACGGATAACTAAATGAAACAGATGCAGATAATAGTCTTGAAACTCTGGAGTGAATGCTTACTAGGAGAGAGAGCTGAGCAGACACAGCAAAATAAAGAGACTGCCATTACTGACTGTGAGGGTCTGAAATGTAAAGATAGATGTTTTGAACAAAAGGAAGGGAGTGATTGATTTTGCAGTCCAGGAGCAGAGGTTCCTGGGACCATCAAGAGAGAAGAAGAGAGTGTGGGACTCTACCCAGAGAAGCAGTAGGCATCACCAGAGATGGAGGCAGACACGATGACATGGAGAGATGGAGCAGCTGCGGACTCTGGACTCAGGTAGGGAGAGGGGCTGTGTGCTGACGGCTGGGGGGCAGACTTCATTTGTTGAATGATGATGCATGAAGGGGATTGTAATCATTGCAATGAGACAAAATACGATAGGATGAATGTAAAGCTGATGTTCTCCCATGTAAACTACCACTCAACTCACATAGAAAGAGAGAGAGATTGCTATACAAGCCAGTGACCAGAAAAGAGCAGCCATCTTTAACTCTTGTGAGTGGCTTGAGACAAGAAAATCTAGCAGCATTGCAGAAACATATCTGTGGCTTGCAGAAACAAAGGTGTTGTATTTTGTTGTTGTTGTTGTTGTTCCCCCCACTCCCCTGGTGACCAGAGGTGCAGACAGCTACACCCCCAGGGAAGCTCCCACTCTCTTCATAGCCAGAGCTGGACAGAAGTAAGCTCCATGTTTGTGGGCCTCATCAAGGAAAGGGGAGTTGTCTGCAACGCCCTGTTCAGGCAGACCCTGCTTTAGATCTGCAGAGTCGGTCCTGGCCAGCCCTGGGCTAGCCCTCACTAGGAGAAGCAGCGGAACAGACATGTTGGGAAGAAATAAAAACAAAGAAACTGCTGATCTGTGCCAGCTGCCAGGCCGGCCATGGTATGTTCATCTTTAACTTTCACAGGCAACTTTGAAGGCAAGGGGACGGAAGGTAGCACAGAGGCATATGGCTTATTGATAGACAGAAAGGGGCAAATTTTTCTTTTCTCATCCCCCATGTTACCCTGGTAACTAGAGGTGTGGTCAGTCCCCAGCCAGGTACACTTCCAGAGAAGCTCCTGCTCTCTGGACTATCAAGGTTGCATCAAAGTGTGTGGGGGAGCTAGCAGCATCAACCTCAGCACCTAGAATCAAGTATGGCCTATGCCAGACCCGCAGGGCTGGTTCAGGTCATCCCTGGACTAGAGAGACTTCCCATTTATGTGCGTGTCATTGTTTAGTGGCCCTCATCCACCTTCATGGGCCCCATTAACCACACACAACTCCCTGTTAAAACTTTGAGTCCCACTGAGGCTTCCCTTCCTAGTGGGGCTAGTATACACAAGAAGAGGATATAGAATATGTGTGTTCTGGCCTTCTCTTTCTCAGTGATATTTTAGCAATCAGATCTGCACTGTGTCTTCTGGGGGATAAGAGTGAGCTAGATGATTGATTTTCAGTACGAGTTCCATGAATCCTTAGGGATCAGGGTACATAGTCCCTCCTCTTCTGCTTCTCATACAGACTTGCTTCAGTACAGTGTACTTGATATATAGGAATTTACCTTTGAAGTCCATTTGGAAAAGAACTTTAACAGTTAAGTCAATCATTTAAAAACACAGGAAGACAAAATTAGTTGGAGTCCTGGTGTGGCGCTGTGGGTTAATGCGCCAGACTGCAAAGCTGTTTGAACTACAAGGTCAGTAGTTCCTCAGAAACCCTGTACAGGGTCGCTATGGTTTGGAACCAACTCGACGGCAGTGCACAACAACAACAACAAATGGCTGTTGTCTGTTAACCAGTTGATTCCAACTCATAACGACCATATGGGATAGAATAAACCTGCCCCACAGTGTTTTCTAAAGAGCCTTGGTGACACTGTAGGTTAAGTACTGGACTTCTCATCCAAAGGTCTGGAGTTCAAACCCACTAGCTGCTCCACAGAAGAAAACTCAGGCTGTCTATTCCAGTAAAAGTCGACAATCTCAGAAACTCTTAGAGGGCGTCTGTGAGTTGGCACCGACTCAATGGCAGTGGGTTTGGTTTATTGAGTTTGGAATCTTTACAAGGACAAGATCACCAGGTCTTTTCCCCACAGAGCAGTGAATTCAAACCGTACAACTTTCAGATTTAGCAACTGCAATTTCTGGAGCCCCAGAGGCCTCGTAATTCCCTGAGCTGCTGGGGTCTCTGTACACCTGGGTAGGTGCCTAGCAGATGTTTTTTTTGTTCTCCTTCTAGACCTCCAAGTCTGGCCGCATAAATACTGAGGAACTTTCATAGATCTCATCCCTACTATGCCCTTGGCTTCCTTTCTTCTCTCCCCCTGTACAGATGTCCTATTTCAGAGAAATCATATGTGTATTTGTGTATTTGTGCTCAGTGATTTCAGAACCACACAGTCTTTATTCTCCTGCTAATATCCTCAGAATTTATAAGAAGTGTGCCAAGTCCTAATTCATTGCTTGCTTCTCTCAGATTCTATTACATTCCTAGGAGCTGAAATTTGCACAATAAACTCAGGATCTCTCTGCTTTCCTGATTATGATGCTGTTCAGGCAAAGGTCACTTTGGGGGCATCCCACCCTCTCTGCTGCCTATAAAAGGCAGGCAGAGCAGCCAGAGGAGCAGAGAGGCTGAGAACAACCCAGAGTCACCAACTCTCCTGTTGATGCTCACCTCCTCACCTTCTGACATGAAGGTCTCCACAGAGCTCTTCTGCCTGCTGCTCATAGCAGCCACCTTCAGCAACCAGGTATTTACTCAGCCAGGTAAGCTACTCCCACCCCCAAGCAAGACTCTTCAGACTCTTTGTTGCAACCCTGCAATTTAAAGATGGGTAGACAGATTTCATAAATGAATAAGGAAAGTTCTAGCCTCACATCCAGTCAGTGAAAGAAACAAGAACTAACCGCCCAGATCACCAAAACCTGTTCTGAGATGAGTTTTGAGAGAGATGCTAAATGCATCCTTGATCTAGTTGTCCTTGCTCGGTTTAGGGTGGACACACAAAAGAAAGACCTTCTCTTGCTATGGGTATGTGAGCATTTTTGGTAGTGGTGGAGGAAAGAAATAATTTCATTAGCTGGAGACTCAGAAGTTTTGTTAGACACTAAACCAGCTTATAGAAACAGTGGTTGGAGAGAGGGGATGAGGTTCCCATGGGAATCTCTTGAGGTGACATATTTTAACTCTCATACCCTTGGGAGAACTATCTAGGTGCTTTAACTAGAATTCATCTTTCCATCCTCTAATGGCCTAGACATATTGAGTGCATTTGTCAGAATAACCGAGCCTAGTATGTGCTGTGATCACAAACAAGTCAACATTGTCACTGGCTTAAAATAACAAAGATTAATTTCTCACTCACGCTAAATATCTATGATGTATTCACTAGTGGTTTTGCTTTTTATCTTTCATAGGCAGGGTTATAAATTGATGGAGTAACCACCTCCAGAATATGGCTGACTAAAAATGAGGCTTTCTGCTCTTGAAAAGATTTATAGCCTTGGAATCCCTCCTTATACAGGGTTGCTATGAGTTGGAACTGACTCAATGGCACTTAATGCCAACAACAAATGTGACAAAGAATAAAAAAGCTCTGGGGGGACTTGCACTAGTAAATATATGTGTTCCTTTCTCTTTCATTTTGTTTGTTTGTTTGCTTGTTTTTTGGGGGGTCAAAACTAGTTATATGGCTCCAACCAACCAACCAAAGAAATGTAATTCTACCATGTGCTTAAAATGCATCCCACTGGGGCTATTCAGTGAATACTACTATTATCATCACATAGCCATTCCTAATGCTGCATTGACCAAGTTTTTTCCATGTCCTTGTCAGCGCTGATATACTTCCACCCACTGCTGAGGATGCCAAGCCACGGGCAGGAGCACACCTTCAGAGCTCATTATTCCTCCTCCTCTTACATCCCCTCGCCTTCTTCTAGTTGCCCTTCCTGCCTTCCTAAGTTGTGCTTTAAAATATCTACCATGCATTAATGATTAATCTTTTCTGTTCACTCTCCCTTCCCAAACTCAGCTTCTGTTCCAACTGTCTGCTGCTTCACTTTGACCAGTAAGAAGATCTCTGTGCACAGATTGGCTAACTACATAAGAATCACCAGCAGCAAGTGTCCCCTGAGAGCTGTGATGTGAGTAGAAAAAAGCCCCTCTCTCCAGCCCCCAAATTCATTTCTAGAGGACAGAGGTCAGGAACTGGATCAGATTTACAGACTCACAGACTCAGTGAGTTTGACCTCTATAATCCAATTGATGTTTCGTTTTTGTTTTTTAACCTGTGGATTATATTTTATTCCAGAAGTATTTTTGTCTTATTCCATGTTGTCTACAATACTCTTTATTTCTTACATAACCAGAGAACACCCATCGCAAAGTGTTAGATTTATTTTCAATACCTTGTGCAATTATGACAATTGATGAATTTATCAATATGAATATTTAATTCCCAGTTCTCTACTTAGCAACTTGTTCAGGTCTTAACAGTTCACTCAAATTAAAAGCAAGGATGGCTTTACTGAGTCTCATCCTTCCCATGGGAACCCCTTCATCACCTGGAAATGGTTCTGGAAGATTTAAGGTCAAGTGGGAAGAACCCTAAAAGAGAATCCTCCTAACTGTGCCCTCTCTCCCCTACAGCTTCAAGACCAAATTGGCAAACAAATTTTGTGCTGATCCTAAGGAGAAATGGGTTCAAGATGCCATGAAGCACCTGGATGAAAATTCTCAAAGATCAATCCATAAGGCAAACTCATTGCCGTCAAGTTGATTCTGCCTCCTGGTGATCCCAGGTGTATTAACGCAGAACTGCACTTTATAGGGTTTTCAATGCTGTTATCTTACAGACCTATCTTCTGCTTCAAAGCCATCAATGTCCATTGCTTCTGAAACCAAACCAAAGTCTGAGAAATGCTTGATTCACTTCTCCTGTCCTTCCTAATATGTACTGAGATCATTTCATCATCATCCCAAAATGGATGGGTTTTATTAATAATTTAGAATGTGTATTGCATTTAAATTTAAATTATTGAAGTTGTAAAACTTAACTACCACAACTCTCCAGTGTTTTTAAAACATAAATCTTTAGACAGTTTGTTTCTCTTCCATAAATCCAGATTCAATTCTCTGGAAAATGTGGGCATTGTTACTCCTCTCTTCTCTGGAATCTTGTAAGGATCCTCCAAGGATCATCAAGATGTATTTTTAAGAAGATGTTCCTGCAAACCAAATGTGTGCCTGGGGTTGTTAATGGAATGAACTGTTATTTTTGGAAGGATCTCTATAACTTTAATAAAGTCAGTAGTTGTATTTTCTTACGAGTAATTAACATGGAACTGGGTAAAAAAAGATGGCAGTGGGGGTTGAGAGGTACGATGGTTATAGGGGCGGGGCAAGTTCCTGGGAAACCATCTTTTTTTTTTTTTTTTT